TTTTTTCCTTTTAAGATTTATTTCAACAGTGATTTCTGTCAGCAAATCACGAAGGACTGGATCCATCTTCTCACTGATTGCACTTTCCCAGCAAGGAAATTGCTGCTACAAAAGCAAAGGAGAAAGCTACCCATTCTAAAGGAAGAATTCATGAGCTGAGTAGCACTGTAAAACCCTCTTTCTGGGCAGTTTCATAAATCTCTTGTTTTCTTGCCAAGACATGTTTGCAATAAACTGCTCTTGGGGAAGGAGAGAAAAAAAACAGACTTCATGAGGGAGGTAGGAGATTATTTGGTTACACAGGAACTTAAGGAGAGGGTGATGGACAGATCTGACAAGGCTTTTCTGCAAAACTGATCTGAAATACAGTGACAGGTAAAATCATTTTCCACGTTTTCCACACATCCTAGCTTATGTAAGATTGAGACCTGTCATAACCTACCAGTTTAATCACTGATGAAGATGTATTTTAACTTCATCTCTCACCTCCTCACTTCCAATAAATTTTTCGGCACTACACCCTCCGAAAAGAGAACATTTAGCAAAGGTGCTAAACATCCCCCTTGCTGAACAGAGGAGACCTCCCCCCTCCATGCACTGCTGCTTGGTGCAACAAGGGCTCTGACCTTCCAGCCCAGGAGCTCCAAACAATCGAGCACCTCGGGCACTGAGGCTCTGCCCTGGGCAGCCTCAGAAGCTTGGACAGCTTCCTCCCTGTGCTATCATTTTGATAAGCAGCACCTTGCCATGTGCTTGAAAAAACTCTGCAGAACATGAAAACAAATAAAAACACAGAATACATCCTTTGATTTGACAGAAATATTCCATTGACTTTAATAATTTATTCTACTGTCAGGTTTAGCCACGAAGAGACATTTTGCAACAGTGAAACTGTGACAAGACACTCTGCTGAGTGACACTATCTATGTACACACGGTGGTAAAAGTGCAAACCCACCTGCATACTCCACACTTAAGGGCTGGTTATATTTTTCTACTAAAAAAATGTTTTGCAAAAAAATATTTCATGCTTCTTTCTTTCCTGGAATTACATTCACAAAGATTAGATTTTATCCTGCATTAATTTCAAACTTCTAATGAATGGAGGACCACGCTAAAAGCAAAAATCTCAGCTATACGTTAAGAAGTTAAACTCCAGAACTACTCAGCACTACCATCTGTTTTCCTGGTCCTTTGGAGATGCACTGACCTGGGTTTTAAATCTTTTAATCCCTTCCTTTAACAAAAAAAATGTTTTAGGGATGCTTAGCTTTGCAGCCTTGATCGAAAGTGTTGCAGTGAAAACTGGAACAGAGAATTCACAGGCTGAAGGTAGCAGATCATCCTACTAATGGGGACATTGTACATAAACAGCTCTGACTACCCCCTGGTGCTACAGAGACCTCATTTAATCTCAGTGTATTTTAGTTTCTCTACTTGACCAACAGCACGAACTGCTTTACACAGTGCTCTGATACATCACCTGCCTATAGGCCCATATGCTCATACATGACCTGCCCAAATGCAAGAGTCATCTGTCAGAAATAACTTTGAATCTTTGTACATAATTAACTTGAAATTTAATTTATTCAAACATACTTCCCTGCAATAATCTGACAAAGCTTCACTGGGGAAAAAAATAGTAATTCAAAGAAATAAGTAACTGGGACTTCTCTAAATGGTTAAATGACCTGTGACTCCTATCTGTCTCATCACCAAAGAGTCTCAGAAGTTGACAATTAACTTGTTATGCTACTTCTCTAAATATCAATTAATAAAGTGGTGTAATTCAGACTTTAAATACAGTACATTAATGAAATTGCGATGAGGTGAATCTATTCCATGAAAAGTCTGAAGCAGAAAAGCTGGGAAGTCTGTGATTACCCAATCTAAGGCTTCCATAGAGACAGACACAATAGTTATGACACTCCTATGGTATGTGACACAGATTTCTGATTTGAACTTACAGTTCATGGACATTAAAAAAGGTTTGTAAATATGAAAACTTTTATGATTCAGGATACTCTGTTTTCTGGCTTGGCTATGAAGTCAAGGAGACTGAACAAGTCAGAGCTGTGTAAGTACATGTATAAGCCAAAGTATTTTCAAACTAAAAAGGCCAACAAACAAGTTCTGCACTGTGCACCCCTGGAACTGTGATTTCCACTTGCATCTTAATTCCCTGAAACTTACTGAATACTCTGGCAAGGAAGCAAGGAGTCTCTTCACAACTGGAGGAGAAACAGTATGTCCATCTGCTCCATGACTCACCTGGAAACGAGAGCCCTTTCTCTGCAGCCCAGATTGGGCAGCCTTCATCTAAGGCCAGAGTCCATCCAAGTGACTACAACCTGGTGTGGCCAAACACAGACATAAACATCCGTATTGCAAAACCAAAGCTCATCCATTTCTTTTTGGTGTGTTGCACTTGCCCACAGGTTGTCTAGAACTTCCTTAGTATGATCTACAGGATTCTGTCCTGCATAATTTTTTGCTTTTCACCATCAAAATGTTTGGAAAACAAGGCATCTGTCTTCACAAGCAGACAGAATGGAATCTGGGGAAAGGCAATGGATGATCTTTGTAATTTAAGTCACTTAGCCTTCAACCTCATAACCTACCTCAGTCCATGACAGCGCTCCCAAGAAATTAAATACAAAAAAAGTGGAATGGGTCTGTACAAAGAACGAAGCCAGCCTGTGTTTGCTGCGGGGAGGATATTTAAGGAGAAAACAGATAATAAAATCCTGTTAAGAGGGCAACTGCAGGAATTAAGCAGGGAGAGGCTTTTTGAGGTTTTTTGTTGTTGTTGTTCTAGAATCTTGTTTCACAAGCTCTTTATGTAAAAACAAAACAATACACAAACAAACCCCTTGCTACTGTGGAATGAAGAACATGAATTATCGACAACTGTAGAGGTCTGAAACTGCCATGGAGAAACTATAGAGGTGTTTAATCACAGTTAGGAACAAGTCCACATTGAGAGCTAATTCACTCCTTGCAACTGAGAAGCTTATGGAAAGGAAAGATCTTGGCTTCATGCAGCTAATTACTAGCAAGCCTAGTCCCGTGCCCTAAGTATGTGCTGGGAGGAAATAAGAGACCACCAGCTTCCAGTCCTTAACAGGCAGAGCTTCGAAGGGTGATATGTGACTTCATCCCGTGGGAAAAACCAACCAAAGGATCTATCAGGGACCTCTGTTCCACTTGGGAGACAGGCTACCCCTTCCCACTGTGTCCATGGCCTGGTCTGCTGCAGCACCACTGGGGATCAAATGCCTTTGGCACAGGAGGTGACTGCTGTTCAAACTTGCAGGCCCATTTTTGTAACCCGGAGGGCAGGAGAGCGTGTTCCAGAGGGAACACTTGGCTCATGATGCAGGGTTGGCAGCTGATGCCTTAGGCACATTCCTGTTGTGCCTATGGCTTAATGCAGCCCGCTGAAGCCCCGCAGAGCCAAACTGAGCAAGCCCAGCCCAAACACCATCTCAGCACCAGAGCATCTGCTGCCTGGAAATGAGTGCCCTCAGCAGACACCTTCACCTCCAGGCCAAGCCAGGGTGAGGGGTCCACACTGGAGAAAGAAATAAAGTGGGCAAGGAGGAGAAGGGAGGAAATGGCTGAAATGGAATTAGCTGATATGGAACAGGAATTATGATGTGGTAATTTTAGGACCAAGACTTGATTAAATGGTGAAAGGTGCTGATTGCTAGGAGAGGAGTGAGAACTCTTATCACCCTGTTTATCACTTTGTTCCTCACTCATTTTCTAAGCAGATCTGAACCGCACTGGTTTTCTTGCAAGAGACTCTTGAAAAAAAGAAGAGACAAGAAAAAGAGACAAGAAAAAAACTGAGATGGTTAATAGCAAGCAAGATGCAGAATAAGTCTGTGCTTTTGACACAAATCAAACAATTCTGACAACAGAACAAAGTCCTTCAAAGTTCAAAATATCAAGGGTACTCCCTGCTCTTGTATCCCAGGTAGAAGAAAAATAAAAACAGTCCCAGAAAGCTCTTGGTGTCCGGTGAGTGACGGGACTCTTGGATACACTGATCACCATCACCACCTTAAGAGGTCAACAGAGAAGTGTCCCTTCCCTGTGACAGTGCTGCAGCATGACCCCCCTCCCCTGCTGCTGAAGAAGGGGCACCGCTGCGTTCCCGTGCGGAATCACGAGGCAATCTTGCCTGCCTCACAGCTGTGCTGGGACAGCAAAATTAAACCCTAAAAGGAGACAGCTAAAAATAATCAAGTGTAGTTCTGCAATTAGAGTTGAATATAGTAAAAGCTGCAACTCTAATAAAGACGACTCATGATTAGACATGATGTCACGTATTAAAAATTTAATCCAAACAACTTGTCTGTTTCACTACAAATAGCAAACTTGAATGTCCTGGCAAACTGTAAGGACATGATTTACAAATACTAGGTAATATTTGGATCCTACATTATAAGCAGTGCTCCAGGCTTTCTGAGAAACAAAAATGACATCATTTTGGACCTAGCTTGGTCATTTCAATAGATAGAGCTTCATTAGAGACATAAACCTTGTGCTGCACATACAGAGCTTAATGCACACAGACATTTGTTTTGGTCACAGACCACACAACTAGCATGCACCCATGCTTCCCATTGCTTTGAAGCTTCTGTATTTCAGTCGTACCAAACTTGTAAGCGTGCCTGCAGATCCTCTATATCCACAATGCTCTGCAGACTCCAATTGCTGCTGGTGTTAATAACCAAGCAGCACGCACATTTTAAAAAAACAGTGTTGGTTTCTTTTCTTTGAATTCACATAACAAGAAATTGCCTACTTTTTCAAATTGCTTTTCCCTGCCATTTAACTGCTCTCCAGAGTCCTACACTGAAACTTGACCTCCTGCAAACTTTTTTTTTTCTAACATACATTTAAAAAACTTCCCAAGCGAATGCCATGAACTCTGCGCGTCACGCGACGAGCAGCTGCGACGTGGAACAGGGCAGAGCTGTGTGTACTTACGAAGAACACCCTCCGGATCCCAGGTGCCAGCCTCTCTGTCTTTAGCTTCCAGATCAGGGGCAATGGTGAGTTGAGAAGGAACACGAGAGGCTTCTGGTGAACGTGCACTGATGAAATCGGATTCAAGTGTAAGGTGACCTACGGAGAAATACAAAAATATATGAGCACTTCCTTGCAAGCTTCATTGTTTCAAATTCTTCCACTTTTCTTTTGAATTATAGACCATTTTAACGCATGTTAAGGCTTACAGTATGAGTTATTCCTTTAAAAAAGAAAAATAAAGCCAACAGAACACATACAGAATGAAAGAGTTAATATTTGTGCTCTACACTTGCAGAGCCCTGCTAAAGTGTTTAAGAAAACCTTGGCAAAAGCAGATGAAAAATCGCTTATGTAAAAGGTCAAACCACTAAGCTGAGAGATGGAGAACAAGGAGATAAAAGGAATTGCAAAGACAACTTATATTTCTAGTCTCTAAATGGTAGCCTACAAAGCTGGCTTGCAGTACTGCCCTCCCCTGTAGATGCTATTGGGGCATAAATCTAATCTGCAAAATAAACAAACTAAATAAACAAAAATCAGGAGAAACAAATCCAGAAACACAAGCTAACCTCTCGCTTACTTATGGAAGGAATTCCAAAAGAAAACTTGGCACATTAAGGAAAGAAAATGCCCCTCTTCAGGGACAAAAAGAATCATGTAGGAAAAACTCAGGAGGAGAGTAATCAGACAAGAACCACAAGTACCCTGTAAAAGAGATCTGAGGAAAATCAGCTAATAAACAAAGTTGAAGTGCATTACTAACGTAGTTGGGCATCGTTATCATTCCCTTATGCAAGCAGTAATAGAGATTTCTAGCTCTGAAGAGCCGCCGGTGCACAGGGCACCCTGGTTGCAAGGAAGAGGGCAGGGGAGCCGCGGGGGCCGGCAGCTCACGGGCTGCAGAGAAGCTGCTCACGAGGCAGTGGGAGGCACGGCCAGGAACAGCACAGACCACGGGGCACTTCTCAACAGCAGCTTCTGCAGCAGCTTCTAAACAAAAATGCCTTTTCTGGAAGCCCTGCCCACTCCTGTAGATCTCAGTGCTGCCCCTCTGGCAAGGGGCAAAACTCTGACCTTAAGGATAAGAGAGCCCTCCCTTTCTCTCACCTTTCAGCACATAACACAGCACCTGCTGACAGAAGTCACACTCTTTTTGCGGTAGCAAATACACTTGCTAGGCAGAAAGCATTTGGCTTGATAGCTTATCCTGCTTTATGGAAAAAAAGCATTAGGAATAGAGCCAAGGTATTATATACTCCCCACACACTGTGCAAGGCAAGTTTGTGTCTCAACTACAGCCATAAGAGCACATTCTCTGGAAAAAAAAAGTTACAACTCCTTACATACAAGGGATTAAGGGAGTAAGTGGGAGCATGACCACAGCCTGGAGTGGTGACACATATAAATGAGCATACAGGTGAGTTAGACCCATCTGCCTCCCACTCCAATACCCAAAAGGAAACCTGAGGCACTGAAAGGAGCCGCGCTACCTATGGCTGCGCAGGGAGCATGCACTGCACACCAGGGAGCTCACTGTTAAAGTAAATCCACATTCATTTGACCAACCAACCAGAGGATATCTAGACACCAGCAAACTGAAGATATGGTAGCCATTACAATTAGCAAACTTTTCCAAAGAAAAAGCTCCTCCTATACCTATCTCCCCCCTCCCCAGGAAGGGAAAAGTTCCCTCTCATTGCAAAGTGAAACCCGATTCTCCGTCTCAGGGGGCCGTGCGAGCCCGGGAGCAGGGCAGGAAAGGGGTTTCCTGCTACTTACCGATTTTGAAAGGCAAACACCACGCTTATCCTTATCGCACCACCCACCAGCAAGCAGCTGGTTACATGCAGGATCTACCTGAATACACACATCTGCATGTGCTGAATGCACAGTGTATTTAACTGTCAGCTTAAATCACCGTGGTGAATCCCTATAAACGCATGTCAGGAATCATGAGGACATTGGTATTTACACATTTCTCATGGTTGATGAAAACTTCTTGGAAAACTGATATTGTAAGACTAATTAAAGAAAACAAAACAAAAACCAGCGCTCCAGAGAAACAAAAAGGCACCACACAGTAAGTGCACAGTGAGAGGTGTTGCCAGCGTGTCCTTTGCTGCCTCGCGTGCTGCAGCCTCCCCGTGGGGAGCAAGGCCCCACAGAGCACGCGCTCCTGCGCTGCAGACCGGCGCTCGCACCGGACCGCTCGGCACCTGCATTTCCCAGGGAAACGCGCCCACCTTCCCAGGGCTCGCCTGCACTCCTATTTACATTCACGCACTTCCAAAAGCAAACACAGAGTGCCATAGTCTGCTACATCTCCCAAGGCCAGCATTGCTTTCCATTTATCGCCTCAAAAGAATCAAGCACCTCCTTTCAGGCAGCTGCCGGCGTTCGCTCGCTGAAGGCTCACAAGGTGAGGAAGACTTTGCATGCCAAAGAGCACTTAGAAAAGCTGCTTTAGAGTATCAGGCCATAAAGCCTGAGTATTTCTGTTAGCTGGAAGTGAAGGAAAAGATAAGCTGCTCGTGCTGCTTGTTGTTGTCTCTAGAAACGGAGGCCAATGAATGTGGCAAGGAAAAGGTGTTTAGAAGTGCTATTAAATTCTCTGCTATTAAAAAGTTTCATTAATTCTTGCGGTTTTTCAGCTATAATCATGGCTAATTAGCAATGAGCTGCTTAAGCTATTAAATATAATTACCTTGTTCTGTTTTTATGTAATAGTTTTCTTACAAAGCAAGAAAAATACCACAATTTAAATTTACCAAAGTAACTAAATTATATCCTTTGCGATACTGATCTGGCAAACATGATCTCACATTTTATTCTGATTTTTTTCTCACCTCTGAATAGCATAAAATGCATTTGATTTTAAAGCCCTTAAACATCAAAGTATCCAAGAGAATACAGACTGCACTAAGGGCAGTGAAGATTAAACTTAGAGTTACCTCTTGTATGCACCTACATTCACTTTCTCACTCATAAATGATAACTGGTTTATTCCGGTCCAACTTACTTTGTAGCTTTTTTTGTTAAGTAAAAGCTAAAGATTCTAAAATTTGATGAAATAAAACATAACACAGACTTATGTACTTAAATAACCAGAAGTAGAAGACCAATAGCAATTCTCTCATATAGGCAAACACGGGTACCAAGTCTGGGGTGCATCCTGGAGGGTGTTTTTATTGGAATGCCAAGTTAACCAGATGAAGATTCTCCTATTAGAAATTTGAAAAAAATCTTGTTATTCAAAATTTCTGGGATTTATTACAAAAAAATAGAGATTAAGAAAAAATAAAACAAAACCTCTTAGGAAAAGTAGGGTCAAGTCCTTTGGGTAATATGAAAGTACAAAAATATCTCTATTTCAAATGAGCTCAGACAAGTTTATTCAAAGCCAATTTTTATCAGACAAGGCAGATGTTTTAGACTTTATGAAGATTTCTGCTTAACTTGATCTCTGAAGAGAGCACAAAGAGAAAAGAATACTATTTAAGTGAGAAAATCAGATTCTTTCCAACTGGAGGTACCATTAGACTTCTCAGTTGCTATTTCTTTAGACTTTAGAAGTTAAAATATTATAAATTTAAATAAAAGACAAATAATCAAAGTTCAGGCCAACATCACCGCTGTGTCCCACTACAGAGCTCCTAACCCTACAGGGATCTCCCTCCTCGAGCTGCAGATCCAAGCTCCTCTTAGGGGAGTGCTTAATGGCCACATTTGCTCTCTCTCAGCTTAGTTTTTGAGCTCAAGGCACATCCTTTCCTAAATGTCTAGACAGTGCATAGCACCTTTTTAAAAGCATGGCATAAGTTAACAGAAAGGTATTGGATCACTTCAAGCCACTAAACAAAACTTTTCTAAATATTAGCAGAAGAGCTAACTAGAAATTTTCCCTTTCTTTCCTTTTGTATTTTCACTGGCAGAAACCACATTATTCAATATTTATTGGACGTTTTGCCCAGAGAAGTAGCCAGTCCTATGTGTGTTCAGCTCTAGACAGCCAGATATGAAGACATGGCACAAAATTCTGCACAAACCTTTTGAAAGCAGCTGTAAAATTAATTATTGTCCTGAAAGATATCCTAAAAAGAGACTTCTTCCATCCATTCTTAGTTTAAATAAGCTTACAAAATACACACGTTTTTCTCAGCAACTTACTACCTCAACCAAACTTTCACCTCAGGCACTTGTACATCAGCAGCAGTCTAACGAAACCCAAAAAAGTCAAACTGGAATCATTAAAGGGTCTTGAGGACTTTTTGGTCACCAAGCCCATTCACTGAGCATCTGCTCAGTCCATGTTATTTTTAAACCATGCAACGGGCTAGTGCCTTAAGCAAGCAAAGAGCGGCACAGCAACGCTGCGGGAAGGTCTCTCCGCGCTCCAACTCATCCCTTCCCCCTCGCGAAGGTCTCATATGATTTCTGAGCTGTTGTGTGGCCAACATTTTTATTGTGCAATCAAGAGTTAGGCCAGACTTCTAGGACGTGCTTTTAAGTCATGGTTCTTTCAGAAAGACGCAGCTCAGAGACTGTTTGTCCGGGCAGGCTGCTCTGCCAGGCCCCGCTCTGCCCAGCTCTCTCCTTTGGCACTCACCAACTCCTCCAGAAACACATGACTAATTTGGGAGCAACACGACCGCTTGGTCATCGGTTAAAAGGAAGAAAAAATGAGAAATACTTAAGGTTAGTCTAAAAAATTTTACCATAAAAAATCACTTTAAAAAGTCTTACCAATAGCAAAGCCTGTGATTATGAACAGGAAATTAGTCACAACAGAGTTTTGTCACTTCACCCAAACTGACTCTTTCAATATATGCTGGAAAAAAGGTGAGACTTGATCAGGACACCGTGTTCCATAGGTGCCACGTCCACCAAGCCTGTGCAAGCAGTGCTCAGCAGGCACCTTGCAGGCGTCTGGGGTCACCATTGGCCTCCACGCAGCCTGCAAAAAGTTCCTTTAAGGTCTCCAGCAGCTCCCCATGACGGCAACAAGGTGAAGGCTCCGCCGGCTGCCGAGGTTTCTGCTTCCCGGCCTTCAGAGGCTCGGGAAAGGCTTGGGATCACCACAGTAACCAAGTATAAAA